TTAATATCCACCATGTAAACAGAACTTGTAAATATCTTATTAATATTTTAACTATTTTTCTTAGCTCAAACTAAATAAAACTATAAAACACATAAAAATAGATCACATATTTATTTGTTTGAAGATAAGAGCAACACCGTTTTTTTTCTTAAATTATAAAGTAGAAATTCCGTGGGGTGGCCCAGCATACCACCGATTTCTGTCACTTAACACAACGGATAGCTTCTGTCATGAACGCTTTCTTTTTAATTTTCTTAAAAACATATATATATATTTAATTATTTATTTTTCTCTTTATAAAAAGCCTACCGAACTTCCGCAATCCTTTGATTGAATTTCACTCCACAGAAAAAGAAAAGAAAAGACAGTGATGGCGGTCGTTGAGTTCTTTGTTCTCGGGTGCACGGGAATCGTGATGTTCTTTCATGGCGCCAATTTCATGTTTCATGCTCTTGCTCGTCAAACCTCCATTCGATCGCTCAGGTAAAACTTACGAAATTCTGTTTGAATCGTATTAAATCGATTTAGTGATCATTATTGATGATTGATCGAGAGATTTTTTTAACAGTTTGATGATATTTAATTGATTACTTCACAACAATCGTATTAAATCGGTTTAGTTATCATTCGATAAAATTTGGGTGCGTATGAGGCTTAAGATTAAACTCGATGAAGATCAGATCTTAAATAGTTTCTGATTTGATTTAATGATAATTGATAAAGACGTTTCTTTTAACAATTGACTGCTATTTAATTGATTATTTCTCAAAATTGAGTTGATTTTGTTTCTCAAACTGTTCAACGAAATCAAGTCCCTATGAAGCTTAAGATCGACTCGATGAACATCGGATCTTTGATAGAGTCTGGTTTTTGTTGTTTTTAACATTTTGATATTAGTTTTCTTATTGGAATTTCTAATCTAATTTTCTACTTAATGGATTTGTGGATATTTCTGTACTGATTTGGCATTAATCATATCATTGATGAATGATGGAAATACCTTTCTAACAGTTTATTCATTCATTCAATGTTCATTCTCAAAATCACGTGAATAGAGCGTTGATTTTGTTTTTAGCATTTTGGCATTAATCATAACACAGAGGACATTAAAGTTTTAATTCTGAACTTCTGTTTGTTGTTTGTCCATTTTGCAGTTTCTTGGGATGTGTTTGGTAACGTGCAAATGTAGAGATGAGTTTATCAGAGGTTGGAATTCAATTTCAAGGGAATGGAATTGTGAATATTTTTGTATAATTTGTAGACAATAAATAAATAAATGAAGAGTTTGGAATAAATTATTGATGGTTGTTACAAAAAGTATTCTCCTAATTTAACAATGATGGAGTGACAGAGCTATTTGACTATAAATTATCCAATGTTTTCTCATTTAAATTATCTCAAAAAATATAATATAGTATATTTGAGGTAAAATGCATAAAAGTATAACCTAACCTTTTCTTTTTTGTAGAGAACTTTAAAAACAGAACTTTTAATCCAATTCTTTTTTTCGGAGCGATATAATATATATTAAAAAAAAAAAACTAAAAGAAGCTAGCACTACAAGTCACATAGAACAAATAACTAACGTGTTAGGAAACCAACCAACACAAATTCATACTATGATTCTTATGTCTATTACTAACCCATAAAAAAATAAATTTGGTTGTAAACACCACCTTAATCTTAAAATATAGTATAATTCGATCGGACACCATGTAGTTTTGATTGTAAACACCACCTTAACCTTAAAAGATAAAGTTAGTTTTACACCAAATTATAATAGGTGTCTTACATTTGTATCAACTTTTTTATTTAAATCAAAAGATAGAAAAATGAAGGCATTCACAATAACTAAAGGATCCCATTTGAATTTACTTTCAAAGTTAGAGGGGTTAAAGTGTATATGTATGTATATGAGACTTGTGTTTTTTCCCTCGACACAACACCTTGTGATTTTAACGTTTATTATATGGGATCCGAATCCGACCCATGTATCTTCGGCGATTATTTTCCCTCCACAATCCTCTTCAACCACAAATTCAACTCTACAAATCCATCTTCTCCGCTAGACGCATCCAAGCTCTGGCCATAATCACCGATAATCCACAAACTACAACTACCTTAAATGTCACCCACGATGCTGAATGGACACCCACCTCGATTTCCTACTCTAAACTCTTATCTCAATGCTGTCAAACCAAGTCGCTTAATCCAGGTCTACAAATCCATACCCACCTGATCAAAATCGGATTGGAGAATGATCCAAAACACAGGAATCATTTAATCAATTTGTATTCAAAGTGTCGGGTTTTCAGGAGTGCACGCAAGTTGCTCGACGAAAGTCCTGAACCAGATTTAGTTGCTTGGTCTGCTTTGATATCAGGGTATACCCAAAATGGTCTCAGTCAAGAGGCTCTTTTGGCTTTTACAGAGATGCACTCGTTGGGTATTAGGTGTAACGAGTTTACATTCCCTAGTGTCCTCAAAGCTTGCTCAATGAAGAAGGATATCATTGGGGGGAAACAGATACATGGAATTGTTGTGGTGACTGGTTTTGAAAATGATGTTTTTGTTGCCAACGCATTGGTTGGTTTATACGCAAAATGTGGTGATTTTTTGGACTCAAGGAAGCTTTTTGATCAGATTCCAGACAGGAACATAGTTTCTTGGAATGCATTGTTTTCTTGTTACTCAAATGTTCATTTCTTTAAAGAAGCAATTGATTTATTTCAAGATATGATTATTACTGGATTAATCCCAGATGAGTATAGTTTATCAACTATAATCAATGTGTGCACAGGTTTACAAGATATAACCCAAGGGAGGAAAATTCATGGGTATTTAATCAAACTTGGGTATACTTCTGATCCCTTTTCTTGTAATGCACTTGCTGATATGTACTCAAAAGTTGGAGACTTTGAAGATGCTAAAACAGTCTTTGACCACATTCCTAACCCTGATATAGTCTCATGGAATGCAATCATTGCTGGATGTGTTCTTCATGAATACTTCAATCTAGGTTTGGAGTTATTTTTGAAGATGAAAAGGTCAAGAATCACACCAAATATGTTCACTTTTTCTAGTGTTCTTAAAGCTTGTTCTGGATTAGGTCTCCAAGATTTAGGCAAACAATTCCATTCTATTCTTATAAAGTCAGAAATAGAATTGGATCCACATCTTTGTTCTGGGCTTATCGATATATATTCAAAATGTGGTGAAATGGATGATGCCCAAAGGGTATATGATATGATGCCACAAAAAGAGTTGATTGCATTAAACGCTTTGTTATCTGGACACTCACAAAATGGAAATGACATTGAAGCTCTATCTCTTTTTTCTAAAGATAGGGATAGAATCGGATTTAATGAAGCCACTTTACTTCCAATCCTCAATTCTTCTGCTAGTTTGCAAAATGTATATGTTAGTGAACAAATCCATGTGCTTTCTTTAAAAACCGGATTCCAATCCGACCCTTTTGTCCTAAACAGTCTGATCGATTCTTATTCAAAATGTGGTTATGTGGAAAGGGCAAAGATGGTATTTGACGAATCGGATATCGCTGACTTGGCGACTTTTACGTCTATGATATCTGCTTATGCTCAATCGGGACAAGGTGAAGAAGCTATAAAACTTTACTTAAAAATGCAAGATTTGGAACTTAAGCCCGATTCTTACATTTGTAGCTCTCTTTTAAATGCTTCGGCTATTTTATCTGCTTATGAACAAGGTAAACAAATCCATGTTCATACCTTAAAATCCGGTCTTTTATCCGATGTTCATACCTCGAATTCTCTTGTAAACATGTATGCTAGATGTGGAAGTATAGATGATGCTAGTCGTGCTTTTTTTGAAGTTCCCGAAAAGGGTATTGTCTCATGGTCCGCTATGATTGGTGGACTTGCCCAACATGGATACGGGAAAGAAGCACTTTCGCTTTTTGACAAAATGTTAAAAGACGGAATTGCCCCTAACAACGTGACTCTAGCTAGCGTCCTATCTGCTTGCAACCATGCGGGGTTGGTAACTCAAGCGAAAACATACTTCGAAACAATGGAGGGCGTTTTCGGAATTAAACCGACACAAGAACATTACGCGTGCATGATTGATATTCTTGGGCGTTCGGGAAAGTTAGATGAGGCGATGGATTTGTTAAGTCGGATGCCATTTGAGGCTAATGCTTCGGTTTGGGGGGCGGTTCTTGGTGCTGCAAGAACTCATAAAAACGTTGACCTTGGTCAACGGGCTGCCCGAGAGCTTCTTGTTCTTGAACCGGAAAAATCGGGCACCCGTTCTCTTCTTGCGAATATATACGCATCGGTTGGTTTATGGGAAGAGGTTGCGGATACAAGGAGGTTGATGAAAGATAGTAAGGTCAAGAAAGAGCCCGGGATGAGTTGGATTGAAGTTAAAGATAGGGTATACACTTTCATAGTAGGGGATAGAAGTCATTTTATGAGTGAAGAAATATTTAAAAAACTTGGGGAGTTGATGGATTTGATTCGTGAAGAAGGGTATGTTCCGGTTTTGGAAAACGATCTTCATAATGTTGCAAGAAGTGAAAAGGAGGTGCTTTTGTTGTACCATAGTGAGAAACTTGCGGTTGCTTTTGGGCTCATTGCTACTCCTCCAAGAGCTCCGATTAGGGTTAAAAAGAATCTTAGGGTTTGCATAGATTGTCATACTTTTTTGAAGTTTGTTAGTAAAGTTGTAATGAGAGAGATTATTGTTAGAGACATCAACCGATTTCACCATTTCCGAGACGGAAATTGTAGTTGTGAGATTATTGGTGAAACTCTGATGTCGAT